GTGTTTATTGGCCATTGGATATCTTCTGTCATGCAGAGGTAACTCACATCCTTGTCACAGATTGCTACTGGGTTTTCTAATTGATAAGTCCTTCGTGTTTTCTGCCTGTGAGTCCTTTATCAGAATACGTATTCTTCTCCTACTGGTTGGCTTGTGTTTTCGCTCTCATAGTGACAATATTTTTGGCAGTAATGGGGTTTGAGTTCAGGGCCTCGTGCTTGCTAGGCAGGTGCTCTACCACTGGAGCCACACCACCAGCCCTGTTTTGTGAAGGGTTTTTTCAAGATAGGGTCTCAAGAACCATTTGCCTGGGCTGCCTTCACATCTCGATCCACCTGATCTCTGCCTCCTGAGTAGTTGGGATGACAGGTGAGCACTGACACCCAGGTCATAGTGACATTTTTGATGAGCATTAGTTCCTATTTAGATATGGTCTGATTCTGATATGTCAATATTGTCCTTTAGCTTAAGAAATCTAGGGCCGGGCATAATGCACATAGCTGTGATCCTGGCACTCAGGAGGCAGAGGCAGGAAGTTGGGAGATTGAGGCCAGCCTGGGTTATATAGTGAGTTAAAGCCCAGTCTAAACTACACAGTGAGATCCTGTCTCAAAAAGCCAAGGGTAGGGGGTGTAGCTCAGTGGGGTGCAGTGCTTGCAGGACCCCAAGTTCCACTCCCAGCATGGCCAAAAAAGGAAAATCTATGCCTACCCTGAAGAGTCTGAAGCTTTACTACCCTGTTTTCTTCTGGAGGTGTTATTGTTTAAGTGTTAACATTTAGATCTGCAGCCCATCTGGAATTTTCTGTAAGGTGTGAGGTAGGGATCACGTGGCTATCTATTGGCCTTCTCCTCCTTATTTATTTATTTATTTGGAGCAGCACTGGGGTTTGAACTCAGGGCCTCGCTCTTGCAAAGCAGCGCTCTACGACTTGAGCCACCCCACCACCACTTTTTTTCCAGCCTATTTATTTGAAAAGCTCACTGTGTCCCTCACTACAGTGCAGTGTGGTGATTGTCATGAGTCAGCTGACCATATTATCTGTGGACATTTTCCTAGATTTTCTGTCTTGTTCCTTTGGTCTATTTATTTTATTTCCCTGCAAATACCATGTTGCTGTAATTCTCTTTTGTGCTTCCTGGGAGGTATTCTCACATTTTGTTTTTGACAACAGGTGTTTTGTTTTGTTTTTTGGTGGGACTGGGGTTTGAACTCAGGGCTTTGTGCTTGCAAACAAGCACTCTGCTGCTGCTTGAGCCACACTTCTGGTCCATTTTACTCTGGTTATTTTGGAGATGGGGTCTTTCAAACTATTTACCCAGCATCTCGATCCTCCTGATCTCAGCCTCCCAAATAGGTAGGATTACAGGTGTGAACCACCAGTACCCAGTTAACATCAGGAATTTAATGGCTTATAGAACTGAGCTATATAATAACTAGCTTCAGGTATGGTTGGATCCAGGTGCTGAGATGAATCTTCAGGAATGTGTCTCTTTTCCTGGCTGGGCTTTACTTTCTTTCTGTTTCCTCCCAGATGGAGTCTTTGCCCTCATTGTGGAAACACAGCTTACAGCAGTTCCGGATTGTCATGCTGCTGTCTTAGCAAAAAGAGGGCTCTTCTGTCTAAATACCAATTCCAAAGGTCCAGACTAGTTCTCATCAGACCAACTTGGGCCACATGTCCATTTCTAGAGCAGTCATTGGGTGATGAAATACTCTGATTGGCTGGGCCTGACTCTTCTTTGCACATTTGGGTCCCTGGCACAGTATACACAAAGAATGTGGATTTTGGATGATGAGGGGTGATAGGAAAATCATCTGTTTAAGAGAACAGACACCAGGCACCAATGGCTCATGCCTGTAATCCTAGCTATTTGGGAGGCTAAGATTGGGAGGATGATCATGGTTTGAAGCCAGTCCAGACAAAAAGGGTTTGTGAGACCCCATCTCAACCAATAGCTGTGTGTGATGGTACATGTCTGTCATCCTAGCTATGCTGGGAAGTGTAAAATAGGAATCATGGTCCAGGCTGGCTGGGGAAAAAGTGCGACCCTCTTTCCAAAATAACCAGAGAAAAAGGGTTGGATATGTGGTTCAAGTGGTAGAGTGCCTGCCTAGGAAGCACAGAGCCCTGATTTTGAACTTCAGTGGAGGTAGGGGAGAGAGAGAGAGAGAGAGAGAGGGAGAGAGAGAGAGAGAGAGAGAGAGAGAGAGAGAGAGAGAGAGAGAGAGAGAAGGAGGGACAGATGAAGGAAAGAGAAAGAAAGGGAGAGAGGGAGGGAAGGCAGGAGGGAGAGAGGAAAGAAGGAAGGAAAAAGAAAGAAAGAAAAGAAAAGAAAAGAAGGAAGGAAGGAAGGAAGGAAGGAAGAGAACTGTCAGTTTCTCCAGGTGGGAATATCATTGTAGCACCCAAAAGACATGATGGTATCCTAACCATCAGAACCATGAGTGGACCATTTGGAGAAAGGTTCTTTGGAGATGTAACCGAGAGTCCCCAAATGAGATCACCCTGGCTTTTGACTGATCCCCAAAACCAATGGCAGTCGTCCTTATGAGAAAGGCAGAGGGAGCTCTGAGGCGTGGTGGGAGGCAGGAGGCAATGTGAAGAGGGAAACAGAGATTGAAGTGATGTGCCCTCCAGCCAGGGGTGCAAGGATTGCCAGCGGCCACCAGTAGCTGGGCGTGGATCCTCCCTCAGGGTGAACCAGCCTGCTGCTGTCTTGACTTCCGACTTCTGGACCTGTGAGAGAATCAATTTCCATTGTTCTCAGCACAGTGAACAGATACAATGGTGGATTTTTTGTGTGTGTGGTGGTGGTGGTGATATTGGATTCGAACTCAGGGCTTCACACTTGCTAGGCAGGCTTTCCACTACTTGAGCTACTCTCAGCCCTTTTTGCTTTGAGGTTGTTTTCCAGAAGGGGTCTTTTTTTTTGAGGCTGCCTGGGACTGTGATTCTCTTACCTCTGCCTCCTGATTAGCTAGGACCACAGGCATGCACCACCTTGCCCAGCCTCCATGGAGGAGAGTTTTTGGACTGCTGTGTTTGGGAATGCAGGTGTGGACCAATGCCAAGAGCCAAGGGCAAAATGTAGTGAACATCTATTTTGAGGGAACTGTCCTTTCTTCTGCTGCCAGGCAATTCTTTCAGGACTGTCGATCAAGGGACTCCTATGTTCTGATGGCTTTCAGAAGACAAATTCACCATTTGGCTGAAAAGGGAGGAGGTCCTGAGGGCGTCTGGGCCAATGGCAGGTGAGATAAGCAGGGGAGGCGGAGTCAGCGGTACTAAGGGGCAGGACCCCAAAAAAGCAAGCTTGTCAAACTGGATGCAATGATTGGCCCAAGGTGGCCATCCAAGGTCTGAGCAGGACCAATCAGAATCACTTTCTGGAATGAGCTAGATGAGGGAGACAGAATTCTTATTTTGTCTCCGTGGGCAATTACAGAAGATCTTCTTAATAGCTTGCTATTGGTGGCAGGTCCTATTAATGTCCCTCCCCCCCCCACCCAGTGCTTCTTCACAGGCAACACCTACACCCCACAATGGACAGCCAAACTGACAGATGCCCACTTTCCACTCCTGGCAAAAGACAGGAGGATTCTGGAGAGGGGAAAGGATGCACACATAAGGGGAGGCAGCCACACTGGCTGCTTTAGTGCCCATGTGTGAGAACAGGATGCCTGGGGCTCCAGCAGACAGTTTGTACTCAGGAAGAGAAGGCAAAACCAGCCTCGGAGACGCCAACTCAGTGTCTGGTGCAGCTGAGAAGCTGAGCTAACCCGGGGACTGTCTGTCTTTCAAAGATTTGTGGCATGAGCATAAAAATCCTCCATCTTTTAAACTCTTTCAGTTGGGAAACTGGTTTTTTTTTTTTAAACTCAAAGATATCATAATAGATGCTGCATTATAAGTCTAGAGCACCAAGAGGGCACTCATGACCCCTGCAAGACAGACCTGAGAATGAAAGTCTACAGAAGTAAGTTACTTAAACACCTGGATCCAACCATGCCTGAAGTCCCTCTCTGTGCCCTCAGACTCTCCATACACATAGATCTTTTAATTCTGTTTGTGTCCTAAGATCACAATGGTCCTGGCAAATAGAGTTTTTAGTAACTAAAGCTGAAACAAACCTTTGTTTGGCTAGAAAGCCAACACGTTACAACACTACTCACAGTCCTAGAGAAGACAAGAGACTCAGGTAGAGTGAGACCCATGGAGTGTGTTTATTCTGGCGTTTGTAGCAGCAGCAGTGAGGGGGATCGGCCAGATAGGGTGTGGAGAACACAAGGTGTAATGACAGGTGTGTGTGTGTGTGTGTCTGAGGGGACACATGGGGCATGGGTCCATTGACATTCTCGGTGAGAACAGGGTCAGGACACCAAGTCTTGGACAACACTAAAGAGACAGAGAGACTGATAGACAGAGGGATGGGGGTCGGGGTCCCCCAGACATGCATGGCCCCTTGCCTTGAGGGGGAGCCCCAGGGAAGAGAAGACAGACAGTGGAGGCTGAGTGCCCCCCACCCTGAAACAGGGAACTGGGCCCGCCGGCCTCCCGGCCTCCCGCCTCCAGGAGAAGGGCAGGCCCAGGGTGGCCCCGCACCAGCAGCTCGGACGCTATGGCTTCGAGGAGATGAGTTCACTGTCCGGGCAGGAAGGGAGAGGTTCCTCAGGGCCTGGTTCGATCCCCAGCCTGGACCAGACCTGCACAATGGCAGTGAAGAGGCCAGTGCGTGAGAGAGCAAGGTCACCTTTCCCAGCTGGATCAGCATCTCAGGGAGAGGCGGGACGCCTGGGTCTAGGCCATTTCTCCCTCAGGCCCAGGGGTCCAGACCCCAGCCTCCTCCCTCAGACTCAGGGGTCCAGGTCCCAGCCTCCTCCCTCAGACCTAGAGTCCAACCCCGGCCTCCTCCTCAGACCCAGAGTCCAGACCCCGGACTCCTCCATCAGACCCAGGGGTCCAGGGCAGCCCTCCCTCTGTTCTGGGTCCTTACCCCTCACTCTGAGTTCTCCTTCTCCGATAGTCCCTTGCCACCTTTTGTGAAGCTGGTCAAAGTCTTTTCCTGAGGGGAAACCAGAAGATTCAGGGTGGGGAGCCGAGCGCATCAGCAGGGTGAGGCATCAAGCCTGTGTCATTATTTACTGAACTTTTTTTCCACTGGGCTATGAATGGGTGGGTGGTGTTACCGCCCCATTGTGAGGATGGGGAAACAGGCTGGAGAAGACAAATCCCCAAAAATACAGGGAAAGGTGAGCTCATGGGGGTGACTGGGCCTCAGTGGGACTGAGACCTGTCCTGGGGGCGCAGGGGAATCATAGAGTGCAGTCGGGAAAGCTGGGGCCAGCTGTGGGTGTAGACAGACCCTGTGGGGCCATGCAAGGCACTGTTGGCTGAAAGTCAGGGGCACAGCCAAGTGTCAGTCCACCATCCTGGCAGAGCAGGGTCACATCTGTCCAGGTCCCAGCTTGACCTTTGAGCCCGGCTAGGAATGAGCTCCAGGCTGGGGTGAGGCAGGAATTCACCCCAGCACCATCTTCCAGGGAGTGTTCCAAACTCAGCAGCCCAGTAAAGAGTATCTTAATGTGCTAGTTCTCTTTTCTCTCTCCCTCTTCCTTGCTTCTTCCTTCCTCCCTCTTCCCTTCCCTTCTCCTTCCTTCCCTCCTCCCTTTTCTCCCTCCCTCCCTCCCTCCCTCCTTCCCTGCCTCCCTCCCTCCCTTCCTTCCTTCTTTCCTTCCTTCCTTCCATACTAGGCCTTGAGCTCAGGGCCTACATCTTGAGCCACTCCAGCCCTTTTTTGTGAAGGGTTTTTTTCAAAATAGGGTCTCACAAAGTATTTGTCTGGGCTGGCTTTGAACCACGATCCTCTGATCTCTGCCTCCTGAGTAGCCTAGATTACAGGCGTAAGCCACCAGCCCCAGGCTTTAATGCACTAGCTTTAAAAAGCCAATTCTTTTTAAATAAGAATTTAATTAAGCCAGGCGCTAGTGGCTCACACTTGTAATTCCTGCTACTTGGGAGGCTGAGATAACAGAGGATCATGTTTTGAGGCCAGTCTGGGTAAATAGTTCAAGATCCCCATCTCCAAAATAAGAAGAGCAAAATGGACTGAAGGAGTGGCTCAAGTGGTAGAGCACCTGCTTTGCAAGTGCAAAGCCCCAAGTTCAAACCCCAGTCTCACAAAAAAATTTAATTTCAAATTTAATGCAAAAATCCATGATGAACAAAATACCAACTTTTATTTTTTAATTACTTCTTCCAATTTTTAAATAAAAAGTTCCATGCCACATGAGGGTCTGACCACAGTTGCTGGTCCAAAGGAAAATTTGTGCTGTATACAAACACTTTTATATTTATTTATTTATTTGTTTATTTGGCAGGGCTGGGCTTTGAACTCAGGGCCTCAGGCTTGCTAGGCAGGCGCTCTACCACTCGAGTCACTCCACCAGCCCTTTGTGCTTTAGTTATTTTTCAGGTTGGGGCTCTCATTTTTGCCTGGCCTGACCTCAAAACTCCATCCTTCTACCCATGGCCTCCTCTGTCACTGTGATGACAAATGTGCACCACCATGCCTGGCTTGTTGGTTGAGATGGGGTCTTTGCTAACTTTCTTCCCAGGTTGGACTCAAATCAAGATCCTCCTGATCTTCAACTCCCAAGTAGCTGGGATTACAGGCAAGCACCAACAGGTCTGGCTTATGTATTTTTCATGGTTAATTCCTTCCCCCTCAGAAAGCCAAAACAATTGAAAGACAGTGAAAAATTAGCCTAGTGAAATGGCCATGGTTATTTTATGCTTAAATATTTTTTATATATATTCTAAACAAAATTCACTACAATCTTACTTTCTCAGTTTTAATGATAGTAAAGTCAAGCATCATGTTTTCAAAATGGACTTTTTTCTTTTCTTCTTCTTTTTTTTTTTTTTTGACAGTATTAGGGTTTGAACTCAAGGTCTCACGCTTGCTAGGCAGGTGATCTACCACTTGAGTCACTCCCCAGTCCTGCTTTTCTTATTTTGCCTTGAGAAAATGGTATTTTGATGAGTTTTCTGATCGAGTGATGAGTGTGAATGGCTTTTAATATTAAAAGGTGGTCACAGCTGCTGAAAACCACTCAGTCCTCTGCCACCTCCTGTCTTTCCCCAACTGAACCTCCTTCAGAACCCAGTACTGCTGGGTGCCGGTGGCTCACGCCTGTAATCCCAGTTAATCAGGAGCCAGAGATCAGGAAGGTCACGGTTCAAGCCAGTCTGGACAGATAGTTTCGCGAGACCCTATCTTGAAAATACCCATCACAAAAATAGGGCTGGTGGAGTGACTCAAGGCCCTGAGATCAAACCCCAGTACCGAAAACAAAACAAAAAACAGTCCTTCCAACCGGCAGGCATCTGCTCCAATGCCACCTCCCCCAGAAGCCCTCCCTGACCCCCTCATCTATGGGTAGCCCTGTTCGAATCCTTCTACTTCCCGCACTTGCAGACATTATTATTACAGAATTATCACTACTATTCGTTGCAGTTTTGGGGGTCTAGCCCTAGACCTGCCATGTGCTAGGCAAGTACTCTGTCTCTCAGCTACACACTGACAATGTAGTAATTTTCACACCCTGCTGAGAGAGAGAGAGAGAGAGAGAGAGAGAGAGAGTCGCTTTATCACAGTTCCCTCTCTTTGTTTTGTGTTTGGCATCCTGGGTGATCATAAGAACAGTGGAGCCTGACATGGTGATGCACATCTATAAACCCAGGACTCAGAAAGCTGAGGCAGGAAATTTGAGAGTTCAAGGCCAGCCTGAGTTACATAATGAGATTTTGTCTCAAAAAACAAAAAAACCAGCTGAGCCTGGTGCTGGTTCAGGTCTGTGATCCTAGCTACTGGGGGAGGGAGAGGGAGGGGACAGAGATCAGGAGATTCATCATGGTCCAGGTTGGTAGAGGCAAAAAAAGTCAGCAAGACCCTATGTCAGAAATAACCAAAGCAAAAAAACCTGGGGGTGAGGCCTGAGCGGTAGAACGCCTGCTTAGCAAGCACAAGGTCCTGAGTTCAAACCCCTGGAGCTGCCCCTGACTGAACTCACCGAATTAGCACAAATGTACTGAAGGTAGCTTCCCAGCAGAGGAAACTGAGGCACAGAGAGGTTAAGTAACTTGCTCTAGGTCACACAGCAGTGGCATCTGACTGCCACCGAGGACAGGGCCCTGGTGGCCGCCACTCACCTCCACAAGCTGATGCCAGTGTTCCACTGGCTTGCGGGGATTCGCCAGCATCTCCGCCCAGTGCTCCCGGCCGTGGGGGTCGGCGGCTTCGGGGCCCACGCGGCACACGCCTATCACCTCGTTGTGACCGATGCTGGGGGTGCAGGTCGGTGATTAGTGGGGACAAGGTGGACAGGTCCTCTCCCGACCCTCCACGCCCCACCCCAGGCCACCGCTCACCAGTCGTAGTCCACCACGGCGATGCTGAGCCCCACGTTCTCTACGCTCTCGGGGGCCACGTCGAACACCAGCGCCTCATTGTATGTGGGGTTCAGAGTGTTCTTCTTAATGGATGTTTTCCGCTTCTTCAGACGCCGCCCCTCGCTGATCAGAGAAGCCTTCACATAGGGGTCTGGGGGTGGGAAGGGAGGGCACTGAACAGCGACCTCCCTGCTCAGACCCAGGGATCCAGACCCCAGCCTCCTCCCTCAGACCCAGGGATCCAGACCCCAGCCTCCTCCCTCAGACCCAGGGGTCCAGAACCCAGCCTCCTCCCTCAGACCCAGGGATCCAGACCCCAGCCTCCTCCCTCAGACCCAGGGGTCCAGTTCCAGCCTCCTCCCTCAGACCCAGGGGTCCAGACCCAGCCTCCTCCCTCAGACCCAGGGGTCCAGACCCAGCCTCCTCCCTCAGACCCCGGGGTCCAGTTCCAGCCCTCCTCCCTCAGACCCAGGGGTCCAGGCCCCAGTCCTCCTCCCTCAGACCCAGGGATCCAGGCCCCAGCCTCCTCCCTCAGACCCGGGGGTCCAGTTCCAGCCGTCCTCCCTCAGACCGGTGTGTCCCAGGACTCACCAGAGAAGCCAGTAAGGTCCATGGCTTTGAGGTTGGAGGCTTTGATAATGGTGACAGTTAGGCGCCCGGCCGTGGGGAGGTAGCAGAGGGAGAAGTTGAGCTCCCCGAGATCTGCCTTTTCCTGCAGTGGGGAAAGGGTCAGTGATGCTCCCCATCCCTGTCTTTCTCTCTGTCTCTGTCTCTGTCTCTGTCTCGCTCTCTCTGTCTCTCCCTCTCCAGCTCCCAGCTGTCCTCCCTGATGCCCGGGCTTGGCTCCCATCTACTCCACAATCTGACTCTGAGCCAAGGCCAGGCAGCTCCCAGGCCACAGCTGCCCCATACAGTGAAAGCCTATTTGTTCTGCAGGGAAGATGGAAGGGATGTGGTGGGAGGGGGAGAAGAGTGGGAGACAGACAAGACAGAGTCAAAGTGCCGAGAGCTACACTGGGAAGACAGATCATAGACGAAGCTCTAAAGTGAGGGGATAGACACCGAGAGAGAAGAGAGAGAGAGAGAGAGAGAGAGAGAGAGAGAGAGAGAGACCGACCCAGAGCAAGAGGGGGACAGAGACAGAGACCCAGAGAGAAAGAGAGACCCAAAGAAAGAGAGAGAGAGAGAGAGAGACCCAGAGAAATAGAGACAGAGATGAGAGAGAGTGAGAGACAGACGGAGACATGAAGACAAGATAAGAGAGATATACAGAGAGAAAGAGAGGTGGATATCCAAAGCAGGGGGGAAAGACCCAGAGACAGGGGGACAGAGATTCAGAGACAAAGAGAAGACACACACACAGAGAAAGGGGGACAGAGATCAAAAGAGAGATAGAGACCCAGAGATGGGGTGGGGGAGAAAAAGAGAGAGGGAAGGAGAGAGAAACAGGGACCATGGAGGGGAGCAAAGACCCAGGGAGGGAGGACAGAGTCCCAGAAAGAGAGTGACCCCAGAAAGAGAGCTAAAGACCCAGAGATGGCAGGGGGTGGGGGACAGGGGCAGGAACTATGAGACCCAGAGAGAGAGACAGAGGGAGAGAGAAAGAGAGAGCGGTATGGGCAAAGTGTAGAGAGGGAGAAACTGAGCCCGGTGCACAAATAGAAAGAGGTACGAGATAAGGAGACACAGGATTCCGCCCTAGTGAAAGCAGGAGATCCACCCTGAGCAGAGTGGGGTTGGAGGGAGTCAGGGTCCTTCTGATGGAGTCGGCACTGACCTCCCACATATGCTGCCAGGTCCCTGCACCGTGGGGCCTTTGACCAGAATACCCTTCTCTCCCTGCCTCCTGTCACCTGCTCAGCTTTCTGGTCACCTCTTCCCATAAGCTCCCATCCCTTACAGTCCTGAGCAGATGCTCCTCCTGTGTTCCCATAACACTGGCCCGTGACACCAGCTGTGACACTCTGGACCTGGAACTCCTGAGGACCATGTGGTTTGGAAGAACAGAAGAATGAAAGGGGACCAAACACATGAATGATGAATGAGTGAGTGAGGAGTAGATAGATGAACGAATGACTCAGTGAAAAGGTGGTTCGTGTCTGTAATCCCAGCTACTTGGGAGACCGAGATCAGGAGGATCAGAGTGGAGACCAGCAGGGAAAAATAGTTTTTTGAGACCCCCAGCTCCAAAATAACCAAAGCAAGATGGACTGGAGGTGTGGCTTGAGCGGTAGAGCGCCTGCTTTGCAAGTGCGAAGACCCGAGTTCAAGCCCCAGTCCCACCAGAAGACAAAGTGAATGAGTGAAGACCATAGGTGGTGATGGCAGAGAGGACATGAGAACGGACAGAAAAAGGAAGAGACAAGATGGCCCTTGTATGGGGCTGCCCCGGGGGGTGGCAAGGAGGTGACAGACAGGAGCCCTGGAGACAGGGACCCTGGAAGTAAGCTCTGAGATCCCAAAGGCCAGCCTTGGGAGACTGAGCCAGCAGGTGTGGGAGAGCCCAGGGAGGGGCCTATGGGAAGAGCTATCAGTATCAGTATCACTGGCAGACAGGGAAACTGAGGCTCGGAGCCAGTCCTCTGATGCTATGAGGCATGGCTTCCCTAGACTGGGAACTGGGAGGGCTGGGGAGGTAGGCTGTGAAGCTTGGCAGCTCAAGGGGTCAGAACACCCAGCAAAGCCTGGGAGTGAGGCTGGGACAGGATGGACATGCAGGAAAAGGAGCTGTGGTGGGGGTCAGGGCTGGAAGAGTGTGGAAGAAGCCATGGGTGGAGTCAGTACTGTGGGCTCCACAACCAGATGCTGGGAAACTGGGGGAACACCAGGGATGCAAGCATGTCTGAGGCTTGGGAGAATCAGGCTGTCAGGGTCGGGGGTGGGGAGACTGTGAAGAAACAGATGGAGTTTGAAGGTGAGGGGTTTGAAAATTTAAGGGGTTCAAAGAATTGGAACCTCAGGAAAAGCAGAAGTGGGAAAGTCAAGGAGGTTGGGAGGAAAAGGAAGAGGAGTGTCAGAAATTGAGGTGAGAGAGCAGAAGTCACAGAGCTGCGACTTAATGCATCAGATGTGAAGGACAAGAGAATTCAGGAATCTGGAGCCAGGCATGGTGGTGCACGCCTGTAATCCCAGCTACTTGAGAGGTGGAGGAGGAGGATAATGAATTAAAGGCCAGTCCAGATGAAGTTAGCAAGACCCTCTCTCAGAAACAAAATAAAAGCAAAAGGGCTGCGGGTGTGACTCGAGTCTCACCCCTCAAAAAAAATCTGGACTCTGGGATCCATTGACCTGAGGCCAATGTTTGAGAGAGCTGGGAGGGCTGGGGGCCATCATTCCTTCTCCATTCCTGCTTGTACATTTGCATTAACCCCCAAGACAGCCAGTTTGGAAAATCCAGGAACAAGAGCTTTCGAGGTTGCAGGGCAGAGGGTGCAAACCCAGGGGTCTGCGGCCCAGAGAGGGGAAGGTCAGGGGAGGGGCTGGTGGGCTGCAGGCCACTGACCGAGCCACCCTCCACGATGTCCCTCCAGAGTGGGCGGTCGGGAGGCTGCTCGGCCAGCTCCAGCAGGTTGTCCAGCACCACCTGGCCGATGAGGTCGTGCCGCGAGAAGCGGTCAAAGTCATAGACGCTGAAGTGCAGCTTGCGCTGGGCCAGCTCAGCCAGGGGCACGGAGAACTGAAACGTCTCGTTGAAGACGGGGTTCAGTGTCTTCCTGTGCACCTGGAGGAGGCAAGAGAAGGACACAGACACCATGTCTCCAGCTCTTCTTCCCAGACCAGTAGTCCATGCCCCCCCAATTCCAGGACACCAGTCTCTGGCCCCCAGCCCTCCTCCCTCAGACCCAGGGATCCAGGCCCATCCTCCCCCCACATAAACCCCATGTCCAGCCGTGAGCCTGGACCAAAGACACTGACCTTGGTCTGGAATTTTTTCTTGCGGTCCGGCAACAGGTAGATCTTGACGTACGGGTCGGAGAAGCCGTTGGAGTCCTTGGCTGGGAGATCCAGGGCCTGCAGGATTCGCACCACGAGCTGGTCGGAGCCATACAGGTACCGCAGGGCAAAGCTGATGCGGCCGCAGGGAGCCCCAGCCTCTCCTGAGCTCCCGCCCCGCCGGCCACCGGGCCCGGTGCCCTGGTACAGCTCCGGCTTGATCTGCCCGATGAGTTTGGCTTTCTCTTCCCGCCTGGCAAGGGTAATGGTAGGGCAGGAGGCCGCTCCTCACTGCTGGGGTCCGGCTGGGTGGTGAGGGTCTGCTGGGTGAGGGGCCGGGGCAGGGCTGGGTACCTGTTGAGAGGAGACCAAGGTGGGGTCAGTGGTTCTAGTTTCTGGCTGTATTTGCTGATCTGGGAGATTTCTCTGGCCTCTTCTTCAACTCCCAGCCTCATGGCCTCTAATCCTCTGTTTTGTTTGCTGTGTGACATTCAGAAAACTGCTTGTGCTCTGTGTCGCTCAGCTTCTCCATCTCTATCAAACCGCATTGCTAAGCTACAGCTCTCTGCAGATGTGCAGAGGAATCAGCTTCCAGAAGCTGCCGTGGACCTCCGGTAACCCAGAATAACTTCTCTCTGGTCCCGTAGGACCCCACATCTGCCCAGCTCTACGCCTCTCCCAATCTGTGCCTTTCCTCTCTGTTGGCATTGCCCCCTCTCCCACCTGAGCCCGTCCTCTCCTGCCTGGACTCCCAGCCTCCACTTTCTCCCTCTTGTCCACCCATCTGTGGCCCCAGAGGGTCTTTGACAACCAAAGCCTCCCGTGTTCTTCCCCTGCTCACAGCTCTCACATAGCTCCCTAGTGCCCTTGCACAAAATCTCAGCCTTGAGGCCTGCATGGTTTGGTGTCTGCAGTCACAGCTCCAAATTTGTTCTCATTGACCCCATGACTCCTGGAGGTTCCCACAATGCACTGTGACTGCCTTGGCAGGGGCTGGTCCCTCCACCTGGGATGCCTGGCCACACCCCTGCCTCCTTGCCTGCTAATTCTTTTTCATCCTTCAGGTCTCAGCCAAGGCAACACCACCTCCAGGAAGCCCTCAGCCTCTTCCCGGTCTGGGCCCAGGGTCTCCTTGGGACTCTTGGTGGTCCCCTGGGTGGCTTTCTTGCCTGCCTAGCCCACTGCGGCGGGACTGTGTGAGCTCTGAGGGTGGAGTCAGAGCTTCCTGACACCCCACTCAAGCCCAGCTATACAAAGCACTCGGTGTGTATGTGTGCAGAATGAGGACTGATGAATGAATCCCCAGTCTCTCAGGAACTTGGAAATCCCACCCCCACACTCCTCCACTTCCTGACCCAGGACTCAGGTGAGTCATAGATAGGAAGGAAAAGACAGAGAAGAGGACCAGAAGCTCAGCGTGGCCCCCACTCCAGTAGCCTCTCTCACCTGGTAGTGGGTGCAAGGCTTGTGACTTGCTGATGGGACTGCGCACTGGGCAGGCCCCCACCACTAGGGGGCAGCAGGAGCAGCCCGGAGCCGGCCCCGCTCTCGGAGGGCAGCTCAGGAGACGTCTGGCTCGGTTTCACTCCAGCAGCCACCATAGCTGCCGCGGCGGCCTCTGGATATGAGTCCATGTCCAAGTACGAGGGTCAGGGGGCTCGGCACCCCCCAGGCTGCCCGGCTCCAGCAGCTCAGCGAAGGGTGGATGGTGGGCCGTGTGGTGTGGGCCACCCAGAAGAGGATGGTCGCCTAAGCCAGCTCCCAGGTGGTGCCCTCCGCCGCCTACCAGGCCCGCCAGCCCAACCCCAGGGCCTAGGTCTTTGCGCAGGGGGCCACCAACCACTGCTGAGCCTCCCTTGTCCCTCCAGGGCACCCAGCACAACTTCCAGGACACGAAGAGGGAGACGCCCAGAAGAACAATGCCACAGAATGTCACGATGACTGACAGCAGGCTCACCGAGATGTCTGGAAAGTGAGGAGAGAGGTCAGGGGTCAGGACAGACTGAGTGCATCCCCACTGCTGTCCCAAGAGTGGTGACGCTTAGAATTTGCCATGCACCATCCTGAGCACTTTACACCCCTCAGAGACAGGTGTTTCTCTGCAATCATTTTGAAAAAGGTTGCAGGGGGCAGGCAACTGTGGCTCACACCTGTAATCCCAGCTACCTTGGGAGGCTGAGATCAGAAGGATGGAGGTTCAAGCACAGCTCGGGCAAATGGCTCTTGAGACCTCTATCCCCAAAATAATCAGAGCAAACTGGACTGGAGGAGTGCCTCAAGCTGTGGAGCGCTTGCTTTGCGAGTGTGAAGCCCTAAGTTCAAACCACAGTCCCACCCCCAAGAAAAAACAGGTGGTGAGGTTGTATCACATCCCCATGTAGTAACGAGGGATCTCATTTGTGAAGACAGAATATTCCAGATTTTACTCTTTTTGTGTGTGGCGGTAACTGGGATTGAACTCAGTGCTTTGCACTTGCTAGGCAAGCACTCTCTCCTGAGACACACACCTTGTCCTTTTGCATTTATTTTGTTTTTTGGGTAGGGTCTCATGTTTTTGCCCAGGCTGACCTTGGACCATGATTCTCCTAACTCCACCCCCTGCGTAGCTGGGATACAGGCATGCACAACCATGCCTAGCCCTACAGATTTCTCTCTGTCTCTTCCTCCCACTCTTGCCTTTCCTCTCTCTCCTCTTTGCTTCTTCTCTCTCCTCCTCTCTCTTCTTCTTCTTTTCTCTTTCTCTCTCTCCCTCTCACTCTCTTGGATAGCACTGGGCTTGAACTCAGGGCCTTGTGCTTGGTAGGCAGGCGCTCTACCACTTGAGCCATGCCCCCAGCCCAGGCTTTACTCTGAGCCACCCAGATATGCTCAGATGATGCTGAAACGGTGGACACTGAAATAGCAGGCAGGTCAGGACTCAAGTCACAGCCTGCTGTGCAGCCTTGGGAACCCACCTTAACCTCTCTGAGGCTTAATCTTCCATTTGCCCAAGAGTAACAGCCCAGCCATTTACAGTGGGTTACAGGAACGCGGGGGAACCGGGGCATGCGGAATATCATAGGGAACACTTTCAAGGGGTGGCTACATCCCAGACACTTCAGGGAACAGAGGGAAACAGGTCCGTAGACACAAAGTCACATACCCCAAGTGCCAGGGGTCCCTGCCTCCAGAGCCTGTGGTCTTCCCCATGAGCTACACTAAATACTTCCCAACAGATGGTGGCCCAATGTGACTTTCTAAGATGATAATCAGTCCACTGGTGCTGTCACGTGATCCAGCATCCTCTACAAAAGCCTCTGAATGCCAGTGAAAGGCTGGTCCACCTTGTAGAAAACTCCAAGCACAACTTTTGTGTGTGTGTGTGTGTGTGTACTAGGATTCGAACTCAGGGCTTTGCACTTGCTAGGCAGGCACTCTACCACTTGAGCCACACCCCCAGCCCTTTTTGCTTTGGTTATTTTTCAGGTAGGGTCTTGTGTTTGTGCCCAGACTGGCCTGGAACCTTGATCCTTCTACATTTGTCTTCTCAGGTACCACCACACCCAGCTTATGACAGAGACGGGGTCTTGTTAATTTTTTCCCCTAAAACTGTGATCCTCCCAATCTCTGCCTCCCCAGTAGCTGGGATTACAGATGTGAATCACTGCACCTGTCCCTATACAGTCTGCTTCTTGCAACCAAAGATTTGTGGCTCATTTGGTAATTGGTACCAGGGGTGGGGTTTTCTGGATGTGACCCTGAAGGCCTTATGTGTCTGTGTTGGACTTGACTCCTGGGTCTCAGTGGGGAGGACAGGGCAGGCCTGTTACATCCTGCTACTGTCAGCAGGGACAAGAAAATGGGACAGATGCGTTTGGGGGACAGGCAGGGAGCAGTAAGGGACATGTTCTGGTCCTGTACTGCCTGGTGAAGTGACAGCAGTGTGTGACAGCAATCCTCCCAACACTGTGGAACCTAGGGATGACTTATCCCATCTCACAGATGAGAAAACTCTGAAGAGAGGAAGTGAGACCCTGGCAGAGGGACTCTGACTCTCCTCCTGCCTCCTGCCACCTTCCTCGGGGCAGTACTAAGTCACCCACACCTGCTGAGAGTCCTGGGGAAACCAGAGGCCAGAATTTTTTTTTTCTTATGGTACTCGTCCTTGCTAGGCAGGCAATGTACTGCTTGAGCCAGACCTCCAGCCCTTTTGCATTGGTTATTTTTGAGATGGGGTCTTGCTTTAAGCCAGGGCCAGCCTGGACCTCCATCTCCTATTTGTGCTTCCTCATGTAGCTGCACCACCATACCCAGCTTTTTAATTGGTTGACATAGGGTCTCACTGTTTGCCCAGTCTCCTCTCTGGCATAGCTAGGAGTACAGGTGCGACCCACCACTTTGTTTTTTACCAGCCCCCTGGACATGGGAAGAGTCAGGGCAGAGGGTCATTGTGCAGGAAAATTAAACAGAGACTTCCCATGTTGTTAGCCTGCCCCAGAGGCTATCCAGGTGAAAACGTGAGTTCTTTATGCCCCTTGGGCTCCACATTTCTGTGTGTGCCACCTGGGAGCAGGGAACTGGGCCTGGAGAGGCAGTGCACTTGTTCAGTGAAAGATCCACCCTCATGGTTCATGCCTGTAATCCCAGCACTCAGGAGGCTGAAGTAGGAGGATTGCAAGTTCCAGGCCAGCCCTGGACTACATAGTAAGACCCTGTCTCAAGCAACAGCAACAACCTGCTCCTTCCTGGTCCTGTGACTTGGACAAGCCACATCAGTCTTCTGAGCCTCAGTTTCCCCATGGAATATAGGGATTACATATACCTCAGTGAGCACTCAGTGAAATAAGGCAAAGGGCCTTGCCTGTCCTCTGGGCACCAGCTGGTCCTCCATAAGCAAATTCCAACTTTCACAAAGATATCTAAAGGGGATAATTGGTGGCCATCATTGGGGGAGGAGGCCCACAGGGCAAAATCCAAACGATCTTTCGCCATAGTTTGGGAGATGGGGTAGCAGCAAGCAGGATGGAGGAGAGACTCCAGGTGGGACCAGCCTCAGAAGGAATGCAAAGTCAAGCAGGGCTGCTGTCTGTCACGGAGGAGTGCTGACCTGCATCTGGGCCCCGGGGATAGCCTCGGATTCGCAGTTCATTGAACTCCTGGCACCTGTCACTGGTGTCGGCATCCCGGACCCGCGCACAGAGGTCTGAGACCAGGATGAGGGCCCGCCGGCAGAGATCATCTTCGTAGTCCCCAGACATGGTGGCTGTCTGGTCCTGTGCTTGGGAGGGCCAGGCAAGGGACAGATAGACAGCAGACAGAGGGAGACAGGGAGGGAAGGGGAGAGGGGGAGTGAGGAGATAGGCAAGGAGGCAGAGATGAGGCAGATGGGTCAGGGACCAGGGTTAGAGGAGGAAGGGTGTGGACAGATATTAGGGAGGAGTGGACAAGGAGAAGGAAATAGACAAGAGGACAGAAATTAGGGGTGGATCTGCAAGAAGGTTGTAACGGGCTGACCAACCAAGGGGACAGAGTGGACAAGAGGCCAGAGAATAGTCAAGGATGACAAGGAGATTGGGGAAGGCCAGTAAAGGGGCAGAGTCAAGATGCAGATAAGGGGTGCACCAGTGGGGGGCAGAATTCAGGAATGGACACAAGGTGACAGCCATTCATCATTGATTCATTCACCCAACAAATATTCATCCAGTGCCAACTCCACACCAGGCACTGGATTGCAGACACAGCAGGAAACAAAGTAGTGGAGTCAGTGACTTCTTGGTGTCACAAGCCAATGAGAGGAGACACTGCACATAAGTAAACAAACAAACAAACACGACACTCTCAACTGTGAAAAATGCTTTAAAAGAAATAGCCGGAGGATGTCTCCCAAAGGAACCAGGAGCGAGGCAGTCAGGGTGGGCTCTCTGGGAAGGGAAGGATGGGATGGAGCCAGCCATGGGCAGTGGGCAGCAGGGCTGGAGCAGGGAAAAGCATTTCGAGCATCTGGAACAGTATGATCAGGGGCTCAGAGTGAGAAAGTGGTTGGAGGGTCAGAGGAAGGAGAAGGAGCCACACCGGAAAGAAGAGGAGAGAGAAGAGGAGAACTATGAAGGTAGCTAAGAAGAGATGGAGATACAGGTGTGGGGACCAAGTCGAGTGAGGGAGAGATGAGAGGAGGTAAGAGAGATAACCGGGAGGGCAAACTGGGGCCCAGAACAGAGGGAGAGATGAACAGACAGACAAAAGCAAAGTCAAAGACTGAGATTTGGGAGAGCGGCAAAAAGGAGATGGGGGAGCAGCATGTATTCACGGGAGCTGAGAGGTGGGGGCTGAGAGACAGGTGCACAGAGAGAAGTAAAAAGGGGAAAACAAGAGAGTGAAACAGCGGGACTGAAGGATAGAGGGTGCAGAAATACAGGACAGACAGACAGACGATGGCTGGAGATCACAGACAGAAGGGTAGAGAGAGGAGAGCTGGGTGGACAGATGTGGGTCCAGGGGGAAGGTTGGATAGGGGCACAAATGACAGGGGGCCAGGAGAAGAAGGGGGATGGGGAGCAGAATCAGTGACACATGGTTTGGAGCAGACATCAGAAACAGGCTGGAAAGGAGCTGCAGAGAGGAATCGGGGAGGGACAGATTGGGGATCACAGATGGGCAGGTGTCATGGGGGGTGCTGCGGGAGGCCAAGACTCACCTGCGCTTATCCCTGTCTTGTCCTGGGTGGCAGCCGAGGCGGCGGCGGGCGGCAGCCCATGGGAGTTGTAGGGCAGACCGGCTGCAGACCTGTCCCCACGCGTGCCGGGTGGTGAGAAGGGGGTGTCTGAGCTGGGGGCCGAGGCCGGGAGGAAAAGCTCAACCCAAACCATCCATCTTGTCCTACACGATCTAGCTGCCCGACCCCAGGCGACCCTGGAAGTGGGGGGGTCCAGCCGCCCACTCCCACCTTGCGGCCCCCTGCTCGCTGTAAGCTCTTGGGGACTACAATTCCCTGCAGGCCTTGCGCGCGCGCTGCTGTAGCTTCATAGACCCGGTGCTGCAAGGTCTGCTGGGAGTTGAAGTCCTTAATGCCTCCCCAAGCTGCAGAGAGGATGGGAATTTTTTTTTTTTTTTTGGGAGGTGTGTGGGGGGCGGTTAAGATGCCAGGGTCCCAAGACGCTGCAGAAGAGGGTAACGATGCCCAGGACCTCGAAAGGTGGCGGAGAGTCATAACTACTTAAAAATCATGGAATGGGTAAACGACCCCCATGCTTTAGTGATCGGTGGGCGAGGGATGGGGTACACCCAGGTGTTTTGGGACCCCCTTCCTTTTCCAGGGCCACGTGCCCCTCCCCCGGGGCGGCTAGCGAGCGCGGCGGACTCCCACTCCCCGGGCTGGGGCTGGGGCGGGGGCTGTGGCAGGGGAGGGGGAGGAGCGGACTCACCCGGAGCCGCCGCCGCCGCCGCCGCCGCCGCCGCAGCCCCGCGCGGTGCCCGCCCGCCCAGCTCCTCCCGCCCCTGTCGCAGGTCCGCAGCTCCTCCCCCTGCACCCCTCCTCCGCCCTTCAAACCAACCTGCAGCCCCAAAGTCCAGAGCGCCAGGCTGCAGCGTGGAAGGAGAGACGCTTCCCCGGGAGGGAGGCGTCGCAGACCCAGCGCGCTGCCACTTGGGGATGCAGAGATGCGCCATCGTGACCTTCTGTTGCTGTAGATCCTGGCGCCGCTGCTGTCAGACCTACAAGTCCAGGACCCCAACCCCTTGTCCAGGACCCGAACCCCTTGTCCAGGACGCAGGCCTGATGCCGCCGCATGCGGACGCAGGAGAGACCAGGGCTCCCATCCTGCCTGGGCCCATCCTGAGCCAGGAGCGGGATCCTAGCTCCTGGCCTGAGTTGTTTCTCACCTTCGAAATACAGACAACACGCTTGCCTCCTAAGGGATAAAGAGTTTGAAGCCAGGCCCCGGTGGCTTAGGCCTGTAATCCTAGCTGCTCAGGAGGCAGAGATCAGGAGGGTTGCAGTTCGAAGCCATCCCGAGCAAATAGTTCATGAGACCTATCTTGAAAAAAAAAAAAACCAACACACACACACACAAAAGGGTTGGAGGAGAGGCTCAAGTGGTAGAGCACCTGCCTTAGCAAGAGACAGGCTCTGAGTTCAAAGCCTAGTGCTGCCAAAAAAATTTTTTTAAAGTTTGAAAATTATTAGCACCAAGTAGTACCTCTTAAAAGCAGCAAAAAAGATAACAGCTCTGATGTATTGATAGCAGTTAGCGATAATTGCCACTTACTATGATAAGGGGCTAAGTGTTTTGGAAAGTTTTTTGCTTTTTTCCATTTCACCTTCACTTTGGCCCTGAGATGGGAGCAATTATATGTATTTATATAATTCCTTAACTACAGCTGCAGTTTCAGAGCCATGATGAAAAAAAAAAGTAACCTCAAAGTAAAAAATGGCTGTTTTTATTTTTGCAAATGCAACTTTAAGGCAAGTTTCCTAGGCCCTCCCTCTAACTGCACTGGCCTTCCAGGTTGCTGTCATTACATACATTTTGCAGTCATTGTTAAACCACAGAATTCCTAGAAAAGCCTCCCGGTGTCCCCACAGGACCACTCCCATGGCTTCCTGCATTCCCAAGATGGATCTTGATCCATGCCTGGGGAAGCTTGCCTTGAGCACGCCTGCAGAGGATGGCTGTGCAGGGTATTTGCCTCCCGAAGGCCACTTTCCCAGCCAGACTCACCTGGCCAGCTGTACCCGCGCAGGGCCCATGCACAGCCCCATTCTGCAGAAAGACACAGGAGGCGACACACACATTCAGAAATGTGCGTACAGATGGCTTGCCAGCCTCAAATGACAGTTTCCAAAGAGACAGTCCATTCAGAGGCTGCCCAGGCACTGAAAAGCAGCTGCAGGGGACTGGCGGGCTGGCTGACTGGGACAGCTCTGTCCCATGCAACACTGGGTAATGACGCCTGTTCATGCCTCAGTTTCTCTTTCTGTAAAGGAGGATGGTGGTGATTTTACAAATCGGTTTCTATTTGAGTTATTTTGAAGATCAAGTTCATAGGAAGTGCTTAGAAAATGTGGTTACTGTTTAGTGCTATCATAACTATTAATTATATGCATTTGCTTGCTTAATCTTTTTATTTATTTATTTTTGTGGTATGGGATTTGAACTCAGGGCTTACAGCTTGAGCCACTACACCAACCCTTTTTTGTGAAGGATTTTTTTCAAGATAGGGTCTCATAAACTATTTGCCTGGGGTGGTTTCAAATATGATCCTCCTGGTCTCTGCCTCCTGAGTACTGGGATTACAGGTGTAAGCCCCTGTTGCCCAGTTTCATTTAATCTTTTTTGTTGTTGTTTTCATTTTTGTTTTGGCTTTGAGACAGCCCTGTCACCCAGACTGTCCTGGAACTCGCAATCCTCCTGCCTCAGCCTCCCAAGTGCTGGGATCACAGGTGTGTGCACCATCACGTCCAGCTCACAAATGCTTTCTGGGTGCCTATTGGACATTTTTCTGGGTGTCAAGGATTGAGGTTGGAACAAACAGACAAAGGTCCTAGCCTTGGGAGAGCTCAGGGTCTCATGGGAGAGGGAGCCACTCTGCATCCCAGGAAACTCAGACCAGGGTCAATGCCATGAAGGCAAATCCAGCACACGTGTTCAAAAAAGACATCAGGGTGGCTTCTTCCCTGAGAAGCTGATGTCTGAGCTGAGCTCAGGAGGGTGAGTGGCATGGGAGAAAGGAGGGGAAAAGCCCCAGAGAGAAGGAACCGCCTGGGTGAGGCCAGGAGCTGGAGGGAGCGTGGGTCATTGACTGCTGGGCACATGAGCTCATGAGAATGTGCTGAATTTTGTTCATTGCCATGTTCATTGCTGCCTGGCACATGGCAGGCACTAGCTAGATACTGGTTGGTTGGTTGAATGAAGGAGTAGGTGGATGGATGCATGGAGGAATGCATGGATGGGTGGAGGGATGCATGAGTGGATGGTTGGATGGAGAATGTATGGATTATATATATGTGTATCTATATAGTGTATTTATAGATGGATGGATGGATGGGTGGATGAATGAGTGACTGCTTGGATGGATGGATGGATGGATGATGGGGGATAGATGGATGGATGGGTGGATGGATGAGAGACTGGTTGGATGGATGATTGGATGGATGAATGGATAAATGTTGGAAGAATAAATAAAGACAGGGATGGGTGGATGAATAAGTGAATGAATTGCATAATACCTACAAATCCACACACATCTGTACCTGGAGATAGATGGAGGTGCACACCCAGAGACGTGCTCATGTGTGTATAAGCACAGTTCACCTCATCACCATGGTGACTGCAGACGTGAGACAGGTCAGCCAAGCCAGCCAAGGCCTGGGTGCAGGAAGGTGGGACAGTAAACCCTCCAACCAAGGTGACAAGTGGCCCCGCCACCACTGCAGTGCTGACATCATTTCTGGAACTGGAGGAAAATGCTGATTCAGGTGTGTGTCCCAGGCTGGGCCCCAGGCCAGGGGGTGGGACAGGGATGGCCCAAGAGAGGTGAGGTGAGATGAGGTGAGGGAAGCGGGTGGGGGCAGGGGACAGAGGCTGGCAAGGAGATAGAGACCGAGACACAGAGAGACAAAGAGATGGGGAAACAGAGAGGGAGACAGAGACACAGAGGAGAGGAAGAGAGAGAGAGATGGAGACACAGAGATAATCCGAAAGTGTCACGATGCAGAGTCAGACAGAAGCATAGGAAGACAGATGTGTGATATAGTCATTCAAATTCACTCAGAGAGCTGAAGCCAGGTATCAGACACAGGGGAAGAGGGAGAGAGAAAGAGAAAGAGAGAGACCAATGGAGGCACAGAGACCCAGTTCCAGGGAAGAAGAGAGAGCAAAATAGAGAGAGACGCAGAGGAAGAGAGACTCCAGAGAATTTGGCAAAAGTTAGACACAGAACCAGGAGTCAAGGAATGGAGCCACCTTCTACCGAGTGTCCCCTGTGTCTGGCTCAGATTTTGCTGTACTTTGCTTCATTTAGGCACGACTAACCATTGAAGGTTATTATTGGTAAGACATGAGGAAAATGAGGTTCAGAGAGGGGAAGGCATTTGCCCAAGTTGCACAGCATTTTTGTTGTTGTTGTTGACACTGGGGTGAGTTCGGGGCCTCACCTTTGCTACACAGGTGCTCTACCACTTGAGCCATGCCACCAGCTCTTTTTGCTTTTATTTATTTTTCGGTACTGGGGTTTGAACTCAGGGCCTACACCTTGAGCCACTCCACCAGTCCTTTTTCAAGATAGGGTCTCGTGAACTATTTGCCTGGGCTGGCTTTGAACCTGGATCCTCCTGATCTCTGCCTCCTGAGTAGCCTGGATTACAGGTATGAGCCACCAGCACCTGGCTTGCTTTATTTTATTTTTTAAGTTAAAGTTTCATATTTTTACCCAGAACCTTGATTCTCCTCTCAAATAGCTGGGACTACAGGTACACTCTACCATACCCAGCCCCATCACTCACAGTATTCGAGGTAGATTTGATTCCAGAGCATGTATTATTTTCTCCATCCTCTGTTGTCTCAGTGTAGATGAAGTTAGGGGATTCTGAGCATTGATCACAGTCTCACAGGGGAAATAGACACACATTTATTCATTCAACTCTCATGTCCTGAGCTTTCCAGAGGCCAGGCCTTGTGTAAGATGATACTGAAGAGCCAGAGGTGAGCTGGGGAAGACGATGGTGGAGGCAGTGTTCAGAAATATGTGAAAGGAGCAGGGAAGAACACGCAGAGGAATGAGACCCAAACCACTCCTGGTAATAGGAGGAGTTGGAGAAGAAAGGCTTCCTGGAGGAGGCGGCACTTGTGCTTCTTATTGAAGGGTATGGGGACAAAGGAGAGGCTGGGAGGGCATTCCAGGCAAAAGGCACAGCATGTGGGAAAACAGCACAGACAGGAATAGGGTGGGAGGAATTGATTACATAAAACCATTTATAAAGGGCGCTGGAAGAGAGGTTGAAGAGCTGAGGTGGAAGAGGAAGGTGGGACTTGATGCAAGTCTTGAGCTTGAAGCTGAGGGGCTACAGGGTTGCTCAAGGGCACTGGGGAGCCATGGAAGGACCAGGAAGGAAGCAGGTGCAGAAAGACCTCTCTGGAGCCTCACTTGTGGGGCAAGAAAACAGGGGAGGAGGCTGAAGGGGACAAGGACCAGGGAGGCTGGAGCGAGGGTCCAGGCAGGAGAGGTTGAAGTCTGAGTGGAGAGAAGAGGGAGGAGCAGAGAGGGGCGGGAGGCAGAAGGGCTGGAGCTCAAGTACTGAAGCACTAGGAGTGCCTGTCGCTGTGGAAGTCAAAGATGCCTCTCGTCCTACAGAGATGGGATTGGCAAATGGAAATAAGAGCAAACAGCTTAATGTGAGACAAAAAGACAAAGGCCATCTGGAAGTGGTAAGAGGGGGAAAGAGATGCAAGTTACAGATGCAGGAGGGAGAGGGCTGGGCTGTGGCTCATTGTAGAGCACTTGCCCAGCATGCACAAGGTTCTGGGTTCTAACCCCAGCACACACACACACAAAAAAAATGCAGGGAGGAACTCAAGACCACAGAAAATTGAATGTGACTATGTAAGTCTAAACTGTTTTAATTGCCAAGGCAAAAAAATGCAAATACAATTGACGTAAGTATAAGGAGGAATTTTATTGGGTGGATGAGGGCTTCAGGTATGGCTGGATCCAGCTTTTGGGATCATCACCAGGAATCTGACCGTTGTCTCTTTGGGCTCTTACTTGTCTTTGCTCTCAGGCAAGGTCTCTCCCTATACTGTGACAGGGTAGCCTACAGCAGCTCCGACTTTAGCAAAAACTAGCCTAGCAATTTCATGGGAAGGGAAAGAAAAGTCTAAGACTTAACTCTGGAGCCTGAGCCTGATTCTTAAGCTCAACCCCCAACAGCACTTTGAAATCAAAGTGCTACTACCAAGAAAACAGCAAGCAGGACAACAGACAGTGAGGACAAAGGCCATCTGGAGGTGGTAAGAGAGGGAAGGAGAGACGCAACTCACAGGTTGGATATGGCAATACACGCATGTAATCCCAGCATTCAGGAGGCTGAAACAGGAGGATCAAGAGTTTGAGAACAGCCTGGGTGAGAGAGAGGGAGAGGGACAGAGAGAAAAGAAGGAGGGGGAGGAGAGAGGGGGAGAGAAAGAAGAAGATGAAGGAGGAGGAGGACGAGAGGGAGACAGGAGAGAGAAGAAGAAGAAGAGGGAGGTGGAGAGAGAGAAGGAGGAGGAGAAGGAGAAGACAAGACAGAGGAGAAGAGGGGGAGGGAGGGAGGAAGGGAGAAAAAGACAAAGAAAGAAGGAGGGGGAGAGAGAGAAGAAGGAGGGAGAGGAGGGGGAGAGAAAGAAGAGGAAAGGAGAGGAGAGGGGAGAGACAGAGAGAAAAAGGAGAGGAGAGTTACAGAACCCACAAGTTCAGCCCCTTCCCCCCCAACCCGAGCCCCCAGTTCCCGCTTCTTTGACCCACGGAGTGGGAGCCTCAGCCCCGCCCCCCAGGGTACCATGGCAACCAGACCCCTGCCTGTCCCCTCCCCCACTGAGAACCCTATTTCTGTTTGAGTCTCACGCGTGGCTTGCCAGTTCCTGCGTGAGACAGGGATGAGCGCAGGGCAAGTGGGAAGAGAAAGGGGATGAGAGAGGGGAGGGAAAGCAGGCCGGGGGACCAGGACAGAGGCAGCTATGAGCGAAGAGGGGTGGAGAAAGGAGCCTGGGGAGAGGGGCGAGGGGGCTAGGGGGTCCGAGAGAGGGGGGAGAGGGCTCGAGAGAGGCACTGACGTATGAAGGGGGGGCAGGGGGCCTGGGGCGCTGCTGGGGAAACTGAGGGAGAAGGCTGGGGATGGAGCTAGGGGCGAGAGAAATGGGGAAGAAGAGGGGGGCAGAGAAGTCCAGCAAAAGGGTGGAGGACAGGTGGGGAGAGAGGGCGAGGGCAGGCGGGAGTGGGGCAGAGAGCTGGGGAGTGAAGGAAAGCCAGGAATGGAGAGAAAGGGATGTGGAACAAGACTCCAGGAGACAGGGGGAGACAGGGGAAGAAACAGGGAAATGGGAAAGAAGGAATTGGGGCGCACGCAAAGTCCCTGAGGTGAGGGGAACCCGGGTTTACATGTGGGTCTCCGCCTTCCAATTCGGTCATTTTCCCCCGGGCCCTCAATGAGGACGAGGAAGCAGCAGAGGGGAGAAGGAGCTGTGGTGGGTGGCCCAGTCAGCCCCTCTCATCCCTCCCTCCTGAGACATCCTTCACCCGCCTTCCCAGGATGCAGCACGAGGTGGAGCCCCCGAGCTCCTCCAACCTGGGCAACCCCAGCACACACAGGGAGGCAGGTATGCAGGGGGTCTGGGGGGCGGATTGCCTTCATCCAGGCACTGTGAGGTCGCTCTGGCCTCAGTGTGGCCTTGAGCAAGTCACTGGCATTCCAAAGTGACAAGTTCTCCCTTCTCCCCAGCTCTTACAGTGACCAGATTCTAGGACAAGTGGCCCCTTGGGCCTCAAACTACATTTCCCACAAGTCTCTGCAGTTCCCTGGCAAGACTCTGAACCCGGAACTACTTTTCCCATGAGCCTCTGCAGTTCCCTGGACAATATCCTGGATCCAGAACTACATTTCCCATGAGCCTCCGGGGGTCTTAACTCCTGTGAAGCCGTTTTTCTCCTAGATAAACTCTTCTTGTCTTCTACAGTAAGCTCAGCATCTTTCCTTAAGGTTTTCAGCTTCAAACTACCCCAGCCACCAACCCAACCATTGGACCAGACCCCAGGAGCCATCCCTCTACCCCTAGACCCCATTCCCTCCTACAGCCTGTCATTTCCCATCTTCCTACCTTCTGACTCTCTGTGCCTGGTGCCTTCCTCTCTGTCCCCACAGCCCTGGCTCAGGTCCTGTTCTCTTCCACGTGGACCCTATCTCCTCAGTGTCTGCCCTCCAGCCCGTCCGCCACGTGGCTCCAGAAGGGTCTTTCTGACATCCAGTGTTGACCCTTGGCTGTCCCTTGCTCAGGGCCCTTCCTGGCTTCCCATGGCCCCCAGGATAAAGACTCAGCTTCACAGCCTGACTTCTGAGGCTGTGTGGCCAGACCCTTGCCGTTGGCATAGTTAACACAATCCACATTTATTTTATTAAGTAATAGCTCAGTGAGGATGCAGGTGGCTACAGGTATGAAACTGGACTTAGTGAAGTTTATAAGAGTATCATTATCTCACTCAGAGAGAAACCCGCAAGTGTGTGGGGGTGGGGGAAGTGAATGTGGTTGAGTCAGCAGCTCATCCATGTCATTCGGACCCAATTTCTATTTCTCATCCTTTTGATTGATTTGAGATATGTCAACTTTGCAGACTAGCTTGTTTACCTCATGGTCACAAGATGACTGCCACAATTTCTTGCATCACCTTCAGAGGTCTTCATTCTTCTAAATGACCTCTCCTCACATCTTGTTAGACAGCACCCAGTCCACCCACATCTACCTGGCAAGAGGAATGGAATTATGATTATTTTGCTCGGGGTTCCTCAATTTTGGCTGCACATTGGGTGGAAGATTGTTAAAACAAAAGCAACCTATACCTAACTCTACCCCATACCCATTTAATAAGAATCTCTGGGATGGGAACCCCAGCATCTGCATTTATTTATTTTGGTCGTACTGGGATTTGAATCCAGATCTTTGAGTGTGCTAGGCAGGTGCTCTACCTCTTCAGCCAAACCCTCAGTCCCTTTGCTTTTAGTTTGCTTTTCAGATATGGTCTCCAGCTTTTGCCCGGGCTGGCTTTGAACCATGCATGATCCTCCTACCTCCGCCTCCTGAGTAGCTGGGATTACAGGCATGTACCACCATGCCCCACCATTTGTATCTTCTTTTTTTTTTTGAATGCTTGCCAGGTGTTTCTGGTGAAGAGTAAGAGTGGTTTTAGCTGATGAATATTCCTGAGGGAACTGGGGGTGAGTCATGACTGTGAAGAAGGGACTCTCTGGAACAGGGAAGGAAGGATGAGATGGCTGTCAGGGTCTTCTCCTTGGGTGTTGGCTATCATCCCCTAGCTGCCCAAGCACTATGCTAGTTATGGCACATGCCCTGGGGACAAAACAGAGATGGTTTCTCCACCCTCTGGTCCCTTTAGTGCCCGTGAGTGCCTTTCCCTTGAAACCCAGCCCACACTGTCTCTAACCAAGACTACAGCCCCCAGAAGAAGTGAGTCAGTCGACCAGTTGGCCGGAGATCACCACGTATTTATTTATTTATTTTTGGTGGGACTGGAGTTTGAACTCAGGGCTTTGCCCTTGCAAAGCAGATGCTCTACAACTTGAACTACACCTCCCATCCATTTTGCTCTGGTTCTTTTGGAGATGGGGTCTCATGAAGTATTTTCCTGGGTTGGCCTCAAGCCTTGATCCTTCCGACCTCAGCCTCCCAAGTAGCTGGGATTACAGGTGTGACTCACCAGCATTCAACATTTATTCCTTTCAACACTGCTGCTTTCTTTGTGCCATTTTGGAGTCAAGAGCAGGTTGCAAAGGCCATTAGAAAGCTTGTGCCTTCTGAGCATGTTGGCTGGAGATGGCCTGGCCAGTGCTCAGGCGGGAGGGCAGATTGTGAAGCAAGCCATCATAGAAATAATTCATAACCTGCGATTGCAGGATGTGCTCCATTGTGTTGCAGATGAAGAGAATTCTAAGAGGCTCTGCAGATGGCTCTGTTTTTATACTTCAAGACTTTAGCTCACACTGACCTTGGGCGTGAGATATCCTTTTTCTTGCCTTGATTTGGCAAACTCCTTGTAACTCCTTAGGTTTTACTGTGGACAACACCTCCTCTGGGAATACTTCACAGATTGACCTGGGATGGGGCTTCCACTCCATTCAAGCTCACATTGCTGTAGACAAGGACAGTGTTGATGCACGGATGACACATGCAGGAATTTCAGGTGCTCAGGGGTCTTAAGCCTGCTCTGAGAATGAAAGCACAGACAGACTCCAACAGCAGAGGTTGTAAAGATTTTATTTGTAGAGAATTTAGTTGGAGAAAAGAGAAGAGAAAGATTGCATATTGGGGAATGCAGGGGGACCAGGAAACCGGTGATCCCGTGGGTCAGGGTGGGGAGTGGATTTTATAGCCTGAGGGTGGAGATGCCTTTCAGATGCAAACAGATGTTTCCTAGGGCGGAGAAGTGTCTCCTTGACCTCCCGTGGTCTGTCCTTCAAGTCCCCCCTCTCAGTGATCACCCCAACTGCTGTTAGGGATAGGGATGATGAAGTCTGTTCAGTAACTGCTTCCTGCTGACAGGGGGCGATGAAGGGGTCCGCAGCATCAGGGCTGACCACGAGAGGGGTTGTCAAGGGGACCGCGGTAGTAGGTCGTTTTCATCTCCACCAGAGGCATTTGTAGTTTGATGGATTCTAGGCGAGAAGAAACAAACTTGACAAGTAAGTTTAAAATGCAAGGCCCCTGAATGAAAATAACTTCAACCCCAGGATACTCTACCCAGCAAAGCTATCATTCAAAATAGATGGAGCAATAAAAGTCTTCCATGATAAGCAGAAACTGAAACAATATGTGACCACAAAGCCACCATTACAAAAGATTCTGCAAGGGATCCTGCACACAGAAAGTGACACCCAACTTAACCATGAAAAGGCAGCAGCACCAAACCACAGGATAAGAAAAAGCAAGACAGTAGAGAGTAACATCAAGTTAGGTACACACAATCAAACCTTCAAACAACTAAGATAACTAAATGGCAGGAATCACCACATACCTATCAGTACTAACACTTAATGTTAATGGACTTAATTCACCCATCAAAAGACACCGTTTGACAAAATGGATTAAAAAAGAAGATCCAACAATTTGTTGCTTACAGGAGACTCATCTCACCGACAGAAATAAGCATATGCTTAGGATGAAAGGCTGGAAGAAGATTTACCAAGCCAATGGCCCCCGAAAACAAGCAGGAGTAGCAATACTTATCTCTGACAAAGTAGACTTCAAACCTACATTGATCAAACGAGATAAAGAAGGACATTCCATACTAATAAAAGGGGAAATAGACCAAAAGGAAATAATAATCATCAATCTGTACGCACCCAATGTCAACGCACCCAATTTCATCAAACATACCCTGAAAGACCTAAAAGCATATATAAACGCCAACACAGTGGTTGTGGGAGACTTTAACACCCATTATCATCAATAGATAGGTCATCCAAACAAAAAACTCAATAAAGAAATCCAAGATCTAAAATATGCAATAGATCAAGTGGACCTAGTAGATGTCTACAGAACATTTCATCCAACCTCTACACAATATACATTCTTCTCAGCAGCCCATGGAACCTTCTCCAAAATAGATCATATCCTAGGGCACAAAGCAAGCCTCAGCAAATATAAGAAAATAGAAATAATACCATGCATACTATCTGACCACAATGCAGTAAAAGTAGAACTCAACAACAAAAGTAAAGACAAAAAACATGCAAACAGCTGGAAACTAAATAACTCATTACTTAATGAAGAATGGATCATCGATGCAATAAAAGAGGAAATTAAAAAGTTCCTGGAAGTCAATGAAAATGAAAACACAACCTACCGAACCTATGGGACACAGCTAAGGCAGTTGAGAGGAAAGTTTATAGCCATGAGTGCATATATTAAAAAGATTGAAAGATCCCAAATCAATGACCTAATGATACATCTCAAACTCCTAGAAAAACAAGAACAAGCAAATCCCAAAACAAATAGAAGGAGAGAAATAATAAAAATAAGAGCTGAAATCAATGAAATAGAAACCAAAAAAACCATACAAAGAATTAATGAAACAAAAAGTTGGTTCTTTGAAAAAATAAACAAGATCGATAGACCCCTGGCAAACCTGACTAAAATGAGGAGAGAAAAAACCCAAATTAGTAGAATCAGGAATGCAAAAGGGGAGATAACAACAAACACCATGGAAGTCCAGGAAATCATCAGAGACTACTTTGAGAACCTATATTCAAATAAATTTGAAAATCTTAAAGAAATGGACAGATTTCTAGATACATATGATCATCCAAAACTGAACCAAGAGGAAATTAATCACCTGAATAGACCTATAACACAAAATGAAATTGAAGCAGCAATCAAGAGTCTCCCCAAAAAGAAAAGTCCAGGACCTGATGGATTCTCTGCTGAATTCTATCAGACCTTTAAAGAAGAACTGATACCAACCCTCCTTAAACTGTTCCATGAAATAGAAAGGGAAGGAAAACTGCCAAACACATTTTATGAAGCCAGTATTACACTTATCCCAAAACCAGGCAAAGACACCTCCAAAAAGGAGAACTATAGGCCAATCT